AAATAATTCTTCACTAAAGAAAACAGGTATATAGAGCTTTAGTATAATCCTATGCTAAAATTGTTACATTCCATATTTTAGTTATGAATCTGTAAAAGTCAAGTAGTAAACATTAAAATTACAGCCAATGTATAAAGGGCTTTTAGGTTTATTTATGACTGTGATTTCTGTGTTAAAGTATATTGACAGATTTTTTTCTGAAATCATTCTATTGGTTACATTAAAGGGACTGAATTAATGTAAACTTCTATGAATTAAATCTTCCGATTTAAAAAAATACCATATTGTTTTCTATACTTAAAATGTTTATATCTTCAAAAAGTAAATAAAAGTGTAAAGATGTAAGTTACTGTACTGTTTCAGACAACATGAGACATAGTACAGCAGCTGAAGAGAAGAATAGAAACTTGATTTTTATTCTCAAAAGTTTCCAGATTTTTTTCCACATACTATGCCAGACCAACATACTATTTGAGTTTAATATCACATTTAAGTATGCTTAGATCTGACACTTTGTTACAATGGTGAGAGATTTCATGAAAATATTATTTTTAAAATAATCATGTTTTTTTTCTTTTTGTTGTATGTAACAATGCATTCATTAATAGCAACTTGTTTAAAAACACTGTATCAGACTTCAGGTCATTGATAAAAAATGTTAAGCTTATGGAGATACGCATTCTGAGTCCCTTAAACTCATTCCATTGAGAAGACAGAAGACACATGTTACATGTTAGCATGTCTGTGATGCCACTTCTTTCACATACCTGTAGGAGTCAAACCTGAGCCAGAATTTCCTGAAGAAAACATTGGAATGATGTTAAAGTCTACTAGAACTCAACTCTCTTTTTTCTTTGTCAGGATTTTATTTCTTTTTAATTTTTGTGATTTTCATACAATATGGTTTGATGATATTTAAATCCCCTCCTATATCCAAACCTCCTTCCACTGGCCTCAAACCCCCCTCCACTGGCCCCCAATTTAATGTACACACACACACACACACACACACACACACACACACACACACATATATATATACATAACATACTCTCATAATTACATATATGTATAATTGTAGAGTGATTTGTATTCCCAATGTCTCGATTGCCATTTTTATTTTTTATTTTTAATTTATTTGTTTTTGGGTCTTTTTGAGACAGGGTCTCCCTGTAGCCCCAGCTGACCTAGAACTAGCTATATAGATCAGGCTGGCCTTGAATTCACAGAGATCTGCCTACCTCTGCCTCCTGAGTGCTTCAGTTGTTTTTATGTTCACACTTTTACTACAGTCTGTCTTTTCTAAACAAAACAAAAACGTCCTGGAAATTTGTACTTCAATTACTGAACACAATAGATGCTCTGGCTTCTTGGCCTTCAGGCCCTCAGCACCTTCCAGTGGGAGCCATGCACACAGGACAGCTGTATGTAAAAATCCTGGGAGATGCATATTTAGGGTCACAATATGACCGACACATAGGGTCAAAGTTTTCATTCAAGAAAGGCCACAGTAGACAATGCTTCCTGAGGGTCAGAGGACACCATGAGTTTAATTGTTTTTTTGTTTTTTTTTTTTAAGCAATGGAGACAGAAGTTCATTTTGAGAAACATAAAACTGTATAATCCCATTGTTGCTAATGTAATTTCCCGACACTGTTTCCTTTGTTAAATGGGAAAATTAACTTAATTAACTTATTAGAGAAAAAGATCATAATATGATAGATTTCCCAACAAAGGAAGATCCTGGGTTAGTACAAGAATCTTTCTGGTTTCTAGGTCAGCCAAACATTGAATACGCTTGCAAGACCTGAAACCACTGCCACAACAAATGTGAAAGATTTTCAGTCTTCTGCACAACTACTGGAACATGCAGAGAATGTCGGGGCCCACTGTTAACACAGGTAGCCAGACAGGAGCATTTGGGGTTAAAACTGAACTCACACACAGCTTAAATTTCTATCGTAATTTTCAGTACTTCCTATATTGATCCAGCCACAGTTCATAGACTGACTTGTTCCTAATTTGTAGCTAACCAAGAGCAAGGAACTGAGAACAGAAGGCAAAATACAAGCAGAGAGAGAGAGAGAGAGAGAGAGAGAGAGAGAGAGAGAGAGAAATATAAAAAATACCAACATCTGACGGTGTCTTACAGCTGCAATCAGCCCCAGTATGGACTGAGGAATAAGATTCTCACCACAGTGATAACTCAGGGACAGATCAGCCAGAAGTCAGTGCCCCAAGCAGTAATTCCAGTTCACAACAGACAGAAAGAACTAGAGTGCAGGTAGAGTTCACAGGCAGTGGTTATGCTGTGGGGTGCTTCACCAGAGAAGACCACTCAGACAAAGTTTTGCCGAATGAAAGTCGTGGCTGGCCAGGGCTACTACACAAGAGTGTTGGAAACCAAGTGTATAGCCCGAGTCTATCTAGGATAAGCTTTTACACAAAGAAACAATAACCAGGGGTGAAAAGCTTAAGTTCCCAAGCCTATAGGTGGAGAGACCCCTTGACAATTTCTACTCTATTAAGTAAAAATTATTATTTTGCAGAAGCAAGCCAAGCATAACCTACAGAAGCCATAAATCTGCAATTAGCAGGTGCACTCTGGAACACACTGAACTGTTCCCAAGACAACTGGGTCCTGATGGCATGTGTTACCATACCCTGGGCCAACTGCCTGATAATTTCAGAAACTAGAGTTAGTCTAAACTTTAACATGGCGTAGCTATGGTCAAGAAGGTGTCCTATTGCACTTGGAACATGCCAACCGCTCTACAAAACATTGTACCTGTGGCTAAAGTCAGCTGCAGTTAAACTGGACTTTGGTGGAGCCCTGTGGGAAGACACTTGCCTTTGGAGCCTGGTGAGGTCCTACGTAGGCAGGGAAGCTGGGCTCTGTACTACCAAGGTCCCTAGAATCCTACAGAAAATTCTAATGTCATTTAATCTCTATGGCTGCAACTAAATTACAAAAGAAAGCATGTATGGACAAATTATTTTGTTTAAAGTCAAATATGTGAGAATTTTTGTTTAGCAGAAACAGGAGAGGAAAAATGAAAGAATGAACCAAGTAAGAAGAAAATCTAAATTTATTGCTATGGGATTTGCCGCATGCATAAAACATGGAAAAGGTTTGCATTTTTGTTGCTCAGCAGATGTTTTAGAAAGATGAAGCATAATTGACTGAGATGTAAAGTTAATTAGTTGCAGAATATTTTGTTGCTCAGGGCCCATTCATAGAACACCATTGCACCTGCAACTTGCCTCTGCATGTGTGCAAACTCCTTTACAGTGAGAGGGAAATTTTCTTCCCAGTTTCTGGCTCTGCCTATTATTAGAGACCCGATCCTTGCTGTCCAGGTTGCCTTCGTACATGTTACCAATTAAAATTAAATACATCAGTAGTTAAATGCATAAAAGAAGACAGTCATCTCCAACCTGAACTTTTCAATCTGCTCCTTGCGTATCACAAGTCTTTCTCTAGTTTTCATTAATTTCCCAGGAGGAAAAGCCTGCTGTGCAAAATGAGATGGGAAGTCGCATCACAGTACCCATAAACAGTGTTTTCTGACTCAGGATGAGACTATTTAGCTGCATTAAGATAAATACAGCACTGGCAACTGAGATGAAATATTTATACACGTGTCGAGGCATCTCCTCTGCTCTCTGGTCGTGTGAAGTCCCAGGGTGAGCTGCAGGCCTTTCTTGTTCTCCACAGCAGGTGCCCTGAGTCAAAACCTTGTGTACTGAGGAACGAGCCATCCTGAAGGTCATTTTTAAACAGGGTTTGTGTAACCTTGAATCCATATATTCTGTTCTCTTGTTTCATTGACTATATTGCTAACTTTAGATACCCTAAGCTAACAAATGCTATTTATTGTCTCTAAGTTACACAATTCATTATGGTTTTAATGGGCATAAAATTATGAAATTAAGATTCAAAGTCCTTCTCAAATCAAATAACCTTTAGGACATGCATTGGCTGGTATTTGGCTCCTTTATTATTTCAAGCACCACTATAGTTGTTAACTTTCATGGTCTGTGAGATGTATTAAAATCCATATATTTTGTACTTGTTTATAAACTCTTCTTTGTAAGCATAATTTTTTAGGTTTATTGAGACAGAGCAACTATTTGAAGTAACCAGGACAGAACTGTTACCTAGACTACTGCTGAGAAGGGCATGTCATGCCAGCATCGGTAACTATTATTGTGAAACATATTGCAGGAAGCTTTGTCTATGGAATCAACAGGGGCATGCCTTGTGTTGCTGCCGTTTCTTCTGTAGGTAAAAGCTTCATTAGGAGTATTTGAGTGGATAAGGACAACCCAATCTCATTACTATTTTTCCTGTGCTTCCATTACCCTCTCTAATTGTCTAATTGCTGAGTCTAATCTGCTTTGAACTGGGACATCATACAATCAGGCTTGCTAGAATTTCATCTAAAATTTAATAGGCTTTATATCAGAGCTTGTGGGGAAGACTTTTATGAGCAAAGTACATGCCCTTGTGAAGTATGCTGTGGCTGTTTGGAGAGTTTCTTTTTGTTCTCTTGCTTCTTCCATTTTAAAATTACTTGGTTCTGTTTTCCCAAGATGAGGGCAACAATATGTGCCAACCCATATGGTCTTCTGCAGCATAGCACAGCCCTCCTTATCAAGACATAGAGTCTCATTTTCCTCCATCAGATCTGCACTGGTCTTACTGACTGTTGCGACCCACAGAATGCAGCATGAGGGAAGCTGCTTGGCTGGCAAGTGTAGGTCAGGGCAACCACCATCGCTCAGTTTACTCCTCCCTCTTGGAACACAGCCACTACACTGAGGAAGTCAAGAGTAGAGAAAAATGGCAAGGAGTATCTCCATGCAACCGCACACAGCCTGGAGTCAGGAGCCAGATGCGAGTGAAGAAGCCTCCAGATTAGTTCAGTCCTTAGTCATTTCAGTCAGAGCCAGATACACAGGTCTTCCCAGGGGTGACCTCACATATCAGCAAACAAAAGTGAGCACTGACCACGTGTTCTGTCCAATCCCTGACCCACAGAAACCATTATCATAATATGAGGGCTACACCATATCCAAGTAAGTTTGTTTGGTGATGGTTTGTGATGCAACAATAGCCTGCAGCAACGCTGAATAATTTTTATTTGGTTATAAACAACTTAATAAACATAGTACAGAGCATGAAGTTTCTTCCCCAAACCTGCGCTAAATATTGTTCACATAGGAATGATGACCATCAGTGTTTCATTTCAAAGTTATTTTCAGAGGCCAATCATTTTCATCCCTGTAACTTCAACTTTAAGGACACTCTCTGTACAAAGTATACATGTAATAAGCTTAAAAATGTGAAATTGGAGGCAAGCTCACAATCAGGGGATTAATCAATTAAAAATATCTAATACTTGGGCTGGGTGTGGTGGCACATACCTTTAATCCCAGCACTTGGGAGGCAGAGGCAGGCGGATCTCTGTGAGTTCAAGGCCAGCCTGGTCTACATAGTGAGTTCCAGGACAGCTGGGGCTACAGGGAGACTCTGTCTCAAAAAGACCAAAAAAACCCCCAATACTTCAGAGTATGAAGTATTCTTGTGATTGAAATGGGGGGCACTATATGGAATGAGGCTATCCCTTTGATGGCTCTGAGTAGCAGAATAGCATAAATTCAGAGCTCGTATTAATGATGTTGTGCGTGTACACACCAGTGATGACGTATGACAGCAAATAATGGAAATCGAAAGAATGGACTCACGTTAGTGCTTCAGAATAATTATAATGAAGTGTAACTCCTAGAAACTTCTGGACTTCATCCATCACAGTAGCTGGGTCAGATCTCAGCTGCTGTCCATCAATAATGAGCAACTGCAAAGTCAAAAATAGCCACTTATGAAGAAAAACATGAATTGCCGGAACTGCCTCTCTTATCTGGTATGTCGTTAATAAATCAGCCCATGCACTGTATAGAATGCATTTAAATTTTTTCTATTCTTGTTTCTTTCAAAATTAATAATAATTAAGATCTTCCGTAGGCAATTAGTTTTTGGTGAATTATTAAGCTATCATTCTTAATTTAGTTTATTCTAAACCAGAAATAGACTGGTTTATAGAATGTTAGTGGGTACAGGGTTTTCCCATCTGTAGTGTATATAACCAGCTAGCTACCCAACCTACCAAAATCTCATCATGAACCCTGAGGCTTAGGGCTCAGAAAAGGCATTCACTCAGATGAAAATGACACATCTGTTCTCCCAAACTATGATTGGGGTTGGGGGGAAAATGTTTGTTCCCAACTGTCTCACTTTGGTTACTGTCAGAAAACACCAGGTACACCTGAGGAAAATTTGTTTAAAAAGAATGTTAATACTGAAGTCCTCTTGGGGTTTCGGCTGTACCCTGAGCTGGAATGAAGACCGTGGAGAATACGGATGCTTTCCCTAAATCCTCATTTTGGTTCAATCCCATGTCTGCAAGAGCCTCTACTTCCTTCTTAGGGGCCCCACAGGACAGAAAAGCAGCAGGGATCCCCACAAAGAGATGTACAGAGTCTCTGTCTATTGGCTGCTCTACTAGTAATAGTTTTCAACTTTGAGGACAACTTATTTCTTGAGACTGTCTACTAGTCAAAAGATGATATTAGAAGTGTGCTTCGGGACATTTAACAATAGTCTCAGTGGCATTAATTAAATGGTTAATGATATTGATTAAATTAAAACATTGTAAAAAACCACAGTTCTTGTTGCCTGAATTATAAACTATGATCTGTGGAGAAGTTCATCACATTTTCCATTTGTCATTACAATACAAACATGATACCAAAAATAGAAGCGAATTTCAGGGCATTACCTGGGAAGCAGCAAAGTGTGCCAGCCATCTTTCTATGTGCACAGCATACCACCCTGGCACTAGACATCGCCTCTGCAAAGTCTTTAGATCAGGTGGGGCCCAATGGCCTGTGGTGATAACTTCATAGAAATTGAACCTTAGGGCAGCTGGATCTTCATGTGATCGTTGGTGCTTCAAACAAAGAGTGGAGTGTAGAATTAGATTCATTTATTTAAATGCTTGCATAAGTATGCATGTGTATTTCGCGTTTGATGTGTATCTCCTTCCATTTCACAGAATAACAAAAACTTTTAATGTTAACAGACTTTACACTGAAATTGGAAGTGCACAATTGCTTTTTTTTTTTTTTTTTTTGGTCCTTTTGAGACAGGGTCTCCTGTAGCCCCAGCTGTCCTGGAACTCACTATGTAGACCAGGCTGGCCTTGAATTCACAGAGATCCACCTGCCTCTGCCTCCCAAGTGCTATGATTAAAGGTGTGTGCCACCACGCGTGGCTACAATTGCTATTTTAAAGATCAGGCCTTCACTTAATATCAAATGATACACAGTTATCATTTTGTTTTTAAAATACTTAGGCATAGAACAGAGATAGAGTGAAAGGACTTTCTTCACGAGTGTGCTTAGAAATGGAAAGATGTTAGGGACAGACAAACCAGGCAGATGAGCAGAGCCTGTCTATGACATAGGCAAGGCAAGGGTGGGCTCACACAGTGCTTGGCTTATTTTATCTACAGCTGCTTGTGCAGTTACAGCAGTGGGCACAGAGACTACAGGCTCTGATTCCTAACCCTTGTTTAGGTATCCTGTTCAAATGGAGGCTGTCCAGGGTCCCTGTGCTCTCTATGAGTTGCCATCTAGCACTAATAATTCCCAAATACTGTTTCAGTAACCTTTTCACTATCAGGCCTAGGAGCCTTTCATGTTAAACCACCATTTGGCAAGCAGACTAGAGCCCAGTTTGATAAGAGACAAGTTTAATGTCAATATAATTGCTCAATCATTTATTATTCTTTGGAGATAAAGATTTTAAAAAGCTGGGCATGGTGGTACACCTCTTTAATCTCAGCACTTGGGAGGCGGAAGAAGGCTGATTTCTGTGAGATTGAGGCTAGCCGGGTCTACATATTGAGTTCTAGGCCAGGTGGGGCTACAGGGAGCCACTATCTCAAAAAAAATTTTTTTTAAGGTATGAGACATAATTCTTGGCTTAAAAGAAATCAAATCTAATGTAGGAAACAATAGAGTAACAAGCAATAATAAAGTCATATAATAAACTGGAGTTACTTATTCTGACAGACAGGTCAACAAGGAATTACTTTACTGATGGATAAAGGAATGAACTGGATAAAGCTTTTGAGCAAAAATGTAATAAAAAAGATTTTGAAAAATCAGGAAACTCACAAACAAGGATGAGGACAGTCGATAATATAAGGTAAGTCAGTGAAGGTGGATAATGTGTGTGTGTAAATGAACTGGTGTTGTGGAAGATCTAAAAACACAATATGAAGAAAATCTACCCCAGGAGAAAAAAAGAAATATATAGGCCTTTTTTAAGGGAGATAATCTAGATAGGCTGACTAGACTCCAGTGGCTGAACTTGCACCAAAGGACATCTGGATACAAATGCTTGACTGGAAAAGACAACATATATGACGGAATGCATGAAATGTAGTGGGAGGGGCTATGAGGGAGCATGGATGAGGATGGGGTTTAAATATTTGTAGTATTATATGAAATGCACAAAACTCAATACAAATATTTTTTAAAGAAATATATAGGGTTGGATATGTTTGATAAGGAGTTTTTTTTTTATATTAGTAGTAGGTCATATGTATGAGTTAGAATAGAAAAATGAAGATAGTTTAGTAAGAGATGAAAAATTTAAGTAACAAGTAATGAAGAAATGGCTGAAATTCATATTCCTCATGTTTCATGTTGAGTATGTGATTCATTTCATTAACAAATACACAAATTCCATAAATTGGAAAAATAATTGTGAGGATTCTATATATTCATCCACATAGAGTACAGCAGAGCTGAAGCTTCTATTATAAGCAATGATAACGTGGAATTTTGCTTAGTCTGTCCTACATCAACTTACACTAGTTTAGCAGGATATTGTCTTTATATCCCTGAAACTAAGGTTAGCATAAAAATATGACCAGGAAGTCACAAAAGGTCATATTTTATGGAAAAACCCCAGCACATTAGTTCCTCTGTGAGGTCCATTATAAAAATGTGGGTTAGAAATTACAGTGCCAGGTGACATTCATAAGAGTTTCTGAAGTATACCTGCTGAGCTTTGGATTTATGATATTTACTGCATTAATCAGTCTAGCTATGTAATAGGCTACATTACTTTGAAATACGAAGCATGTTGGGTCCTTACTCTCAACAATACAGCAATAAAAAATAACATCAGAAAAAGTAATTCCTTTAAACCTGTATATTCAAAAGATGTATTTGGAAAGGCAGTCACTGAGAAGCATGCTGTATAGATTCTATTGCACTTAAATGATTCAATCGACATGAAAACACTCTCTTTAATCTCTTCTAAGTAGGTTAAATATTCAAAATTCCCACAAATATTTGAATTTAAAACTTTTAGCAAGGATTAATATCAATGGTTTGGTCATATTCAAAGAATAAATTTATCTCACTTTGTATCACAAGTATTCACAAAGACAGACTTTTTTATATCTTTTAATAAACATTAAAAGTTTGTGGATTTTTGACAATAATTGATAAATATTGTTTCCAGTCTAGTCAAAATGTTTGCCTGGATCCTCAACTACTTTTAATCCCCTTTTGTAATGTCATGATTTCCTGTCTCTCAGAATTTAATCTCTGTAATATACATTTATTGAAGAAATATTGAAAAGTCAAGAAGAATAAAGAAAAATAAAAAATAGCATCTTGCATTCTTAAAAATCCCATTTAAGTTTTCCGTGTTTTGTACTAGTTTACACCTGTGTTAAATATGAACACACAGAGACCTTATGCTCATAATTTGGCATCTAGCATCATAAATCAGCTATTACTGGCTTGGCTGAGGCCATTGCTCCTCTGTGTGCTCAGCTGCCTTCACGTCCCTTCTGACCCCTTAAAAGGCTACTTCCTTATATGAGTGCCATCTTTCCTTGCATCGGATCAGCTCATTCTCGGCTTCTCAAAGGACAGATCATCAGTTACTTCATTTTCTTCAAGTCAGGTCTTGGAATTTCACAGCATGTACCCCCTGTATTTCGTTTCAGCCAGAACTTCTTAAACAGAGACCCACTGACTAAATCCAGTGAAGCCTGTGAATTTGGATTGTAACTGCTTTGTAAAATTTAACATCTTTAACTGTGAGTGCAGACGGTTGCTACAGCAATTCTTGTTCCAGTGATTTTTGTCAATAATGAAAATATTGCATTACATGTTTCAGTTACATCATAATGCTGCTTATACTTATCGAAATTCTAATAGTAGCAGACTCACCATCAGAATTTGTTAGTGATTTGATAAAAAAGCTGTTATGAGTTAAGAAATATAACATATAAATAGATAATTATATTTCAGGACAGTTTTATTTTCTGTTTTTATTTCATTTTTATTTTTATTAATTCTTTGTACATTGTATTTTTATTATATTTCCTCCCTCCCTCAGTTCTTCCCAGATTCACCTTCACATCTCTATCCATCGAACTTCATGTTCTTCCCCCAATTCAGTCCAATTAGTGCTGTCCAAACTCTCAGGTGTGTCCTGGAGCATGCTCAACCACCAGGGGTGATACCCTTAAAGGAAACTGACTCTTCCTTTCCCAGCATCTGAGAAGTGCCAATAGCTCCTGAGCTAGGAATGGGACTTCATGACCACCGGCCCCTCCATGCTGGGATATTGTCTAGCTTGAGCTTGAGCTGGTCTTGCACATGCTGTCACATTTGAGTTTCTATGTGCAACTGCCCTGCTGTCTGGAAAACATTGTTTCTTTGTCGTTATGCACCATCTCCGGGTCTTACAATCTTTCAGCTCCCTCTGCTACTACAAAATCATAATATTTTTTTCCTAAGATTGAAAACAAATTTACATGTAAATCCTTAGTCAGAAGATACAGTGTACTTCTGTATCTCTTAACCATGGTCACATCTGTGGAGAGGAACAGATTGGGTCAGGGAGTACATGAAGGTACACACCACATGCTGTATATGATTTTAGACTTGTATTTAGCATAAAAATGCATTACTTCTGTAATGAAATATAAATAATTGAAAGCCACTGCAAAATATTTTTCACCATGAAATCACTGTAGAACTTTTGAAAAGAAAGTTCTTAATAAAATATTTATCTGCTGAGTACTATTCAGTTTTGATTGTCGCTAGGTTGGTTTGCCATTTTCGTTTTGTTCTGTTTTTCTTGTTTTATAAAATGAGTTTGTTTATGCTTGTTTGAAATTACTCTGAACGTTCCTAAGATTTTTTATCACTTTTATTTTAGTGAAAATACTTAAGGTTTATTCAAAACTTCATGCCTACATGCATACAGTTTAGCTTGTTCCTATCCAGCCCTTACAGTAAATGTTGTATCTGTGGCTTGGTTATTACTGATAAATTTTATGAAGGTGTACAATGAAAACGAGGAAGTAGGGCTGTTACAGAAAGACAAGAGACCAACAGCCAAAATCAGGTGAAGAAGAAAAAGATTAATTCACACTACCAGGCTGACACCTGGATCACTCTGTAATGATACCAGTCCCCAGCTCAAGTTTTGCGGGGAAATTTATAGTCAATTCATATGTGAGAAATGCACACAAAAGAGAAATAGCCTGTATGTAATAATTAAGCATGGTGTTACAGGGGGCAGGGGAAGATTCCAGTTGAACTCCCTCTTTCTTATTTCTTATCTTGGGGCCTTTCAAGTCTAAGGTTCTTAGCAACCATCCTAAGGGTTTCATTACCATTATATTGCAACCATCTAATATTCTTTTGCTTCCAGAAAGAAATATGAAATACACAGTTTGAAGAAGAAAAGAACACTAGGAAGATTAATGTTGCAGCCTAGGCTATGCTGAAGGAAGGAAGCTGTAATTGTTTTTAAAAAGATAAACAAAATTAAGAAAAGGCCTCTTGCTTTGCATTGGAACAAGGGGAAATGTGCCTTCATGACAAGACCTCCCCCAGCAAGTTTCCAACTTGGGAAAGGAGAAAGCCTAAGGAGTTTTCTGCTCCTGGAAAACCATAACAAACAAAAGTAGCTGCAAATGTGATCCAACTGGCCAGTGTCTATCCCAAGCTGGCAGCCAAACTTGACAGTGTGGTGCTGGATTTAGAGGCATAAAAGATCCAAGAGTAAGGGGATAGTCAGTTCTTCCTCCAGAGTTTCAGAGAGCAGCTCAGGCCAGGCCAGACCACGCAGAAGGGGAGTCCTGAGTGAAGAAAGCCGGGAGAACCTGAAAAACCACAGTGCTGGGCTCTGAATGTGAGCCTGGGCTCAGTGGAAACCTTGTGATACTGGGGAGGCTGTTAAACATCTGCTGACGATTGCTGTTTAAAGGGAGTAGATCCAGCCCAAGAAAGCAATGTACGTTTCTGGTAGCAAAGCTGGGGAGACTGAGGCATCTGAAGCCCTTTGGAATCAAAGTCCCAGACGTGAGCCCTGGATTTGATGTTTTCTTTACTGGTTTCCAGTCTTGCTCTTGTCTGGTATTTCCCACTATGGCCCTGATTCCTCCCTTTTAGAATGGGAATGTGTTTTCTGTGAACTGGGTTTTATTTAGTGATTAATTCAAGATATGACTGAATGTATTTAAAACTACTTGCCATTATTCATACCTGGTACCAAGAATATGCCCTGTCTGAGGGGTCAATGAGGATGGTGATGAGCTTGGCTTTCGGGACAAGAGATGCAGCTCTCTTGGGAGCATCTTCTGAGTGGAAGTAGTTCGCACTCTTTTCAAATAGAAAATCACTGGTAATGTTGGAAGGAGTAGGAAAAAAGTCCATATACCTGCAGGTGGAGAGAGAGAATTAATTAATGGGAAAAATTTGAACATTTTTTGTATTCATTTATATCAGTTTCTAATTATTGTGCTATGAAGTAATCTAAATAGTAGCTATATTATATTGTTCAAATGTGAAAACAACCCAGAATGACATAATCACTTGGGCAGAGGAAAGAGCAAAATGGAACATGTGGGGCGATAACAATGGGAATGTATAGTGCATGTGAGCTGACACTTTATCAAAGCCTAAACCAAAAATACTGGTTGTACCAGGGAAATACAAAATTGTACCATCTTTCTTCAAGGGTGTTTTAAAACAGCAAATGTATGTTTGCAAAATAGAATGCCAAGATGCTTAAGGTTAGGTTAAAGTTCATAACACAGAAAAAAATGTAAGTCAAAATAGCTATAAAAAACAGCAGATTAATGCACAGCTGTTCTCCTCTTTTGACTTCTATATAATTTGTAGTATATGTAGCAATGCGGGCACACTATAATCGATCTGTTAGAATTAAGGGGATATTTCCTGCCAGTTGATTCTGCGGTGCCCCAGTAGATTCACACCTCCATATGCTGTTGGAGCATTCCTCTGTGTGTCGATTATGGAATCAATATGTTCTGAGGTTAATTCAGTACAGGGCTTTAATTATATGTGTAACCCTTCGTACAGTTCATCACTTCTCTAACCCTCAAATGTTCTAGAAATAAATAATGAGAACAATTAAGAATCCATATAAGACACTTACTTTCTTCTTTGACATTTGTTATTATGTTTCCCTAATGCAGGGTACTGAAGAATGTCACCTTCATTCTTGTTTAACAATTTGTGTTGCTTTGAGCAAAGATAAGAGAAAAAGTGCTGTTCTGCCATTAATAGCTCACACGTATTGCCAGAACATGTTCATACTTTTAAAAAGTGACATAGAGTAGTAATATCCTAGATATTAAGTGAACATTCTTTTATTCAGAATGAGAAGTGAGCTCTGCCCACTGGCATCGTCTTTATCTAACCTTAAGCCTAGTTGCATCTAGCAGTTGCATGTGTGCTAATAACATACAACATTCTACACAATAAACTGTGAGTTAAAAGGAATGTTCCTCACATGAGATTTGCCTTATTTACCTGGGAACTGAAAATTGAATCTAGCATCATATTTTCATGAATAGCATCTCCAAGATCAAGTTATTCTATTTTAGCTTATGGAAATTATTATGTGTTTTCCATAATTTATCAAGTGTTAATTAATGCTTCTTTCTTGCATGTGACTAGGCTTGATATAGCTTTGGAAAAGCTCTCATTTGCATGACAAATATTGCCAACATTGCAATACAACATATACAACTCATATGGTTAATAAAGATACATGTCACACAGTACAAAATAAAGCAACCTGCTGATTTATTTGTTTCCTCAAGCATCACTGTGAAGACAAACTGTGTGTTTAATAAAATAAATGGACGTACCATAAAATAATAGTATGCTTAAAGAGAATTTTAAATATCTTTATGAATAATTCTGATGAAAAATATCCCATAATGCTCTTTATTCAATCATATTAACTTACCAGAAAAATATTATCATTATTGTACTGTCTGAATCAAATTATAGACAATGCTGATTAAACATATCAGTATTATAAATTAACTTTTAATCCACAGTGGTAGAATTGAGCATAACAAATTTATTCTGTAATTATGCAGAGGCCTTGCTTACATCTACAACTGCTCTGCACTGCTAAAGCATGTATTAATAATGGAGTTTACTTTTTGTGATTTTTCTTACCAGTCAATTCCCTTGTGATAGTTGTTGCCATTAAAAAATTGAACTTCTTCAAATGTTTTGGGGCTAGGAAGATTGCTGATGATGGAGGGATGCATAAGAAGAAATAAATAAAGTGCGGTTGTTCCTATTACAAAAAGAAGAGGCATGTTATGTCGTTTTAAGACACTGAAATATCAATTACCATATTTTTGATATAAAATAATACTCAGAAGACCAACTCCTTCTAGTGTCAAAATGGCTTCCTTTCCCTTAGTTAGGTGCATGTAAATGTGATAGCAATCCAAATGTGTTCTTGTCAGTCTCTGCAGTTCTCTCTCTAAGTATCTGAGTTGATTTCATTACATGACCAAAGAAAAGTGGATGAGCGACTCAGTCAGGTAGAATTCCAGAAATACGTGATTCAATTTCCTTCTGAAGTCAGGTGAGTGGTTAAGTGTCACAGGCATGGGGAAGTTATGTCTTTATTTGTTGAGCCCAAATCCAGTGAGCCTTTGATTGACATTTAATTTTGGTCAAGTATTCAATGGAAGTCAGTATGTTATTCATATATGGGTATATGCCTTAGAAGCAATGGCTGGTGACAGATAATCTTTGAACAGAAAACTATGTGCTACTCTCAATAAACTTAAAGTCTGAATGTGTACGTCAGTACATAGATAATAAAAAGATAGAATGGAGGTTAGCATAGCTAAAAAGACACTAAGAATAGGCCTAAGTCCAACAATCACTTTGGATGGCGTACACATTAAAACATCAAGACTGCATGGCTCCCAGTTTGATTGAATTGAATCAACTAAGGAGACAGCACTCCCTCCAAGAGCATGTGACGAGGGTTTAAGTATTGTTAAATACTATTGAGGGTCTTAACTTCTTAAATCTTATTGTGAGTAGTGTTGAATTAGTTAATTACATTTCTTTCAGAACACTGTAGGCAACAGTCATTTGGCCTCTTGAACGACAGTTGAAGGACCCTTCCCTATGTCTGACTACCTTATTCAAGGAGTTGTTAAGCAACCCCTTTTTGGCAGCTGTTCTTAGGCAATTTGCGTGGGCTTTGGAAGACAGTTCCCCAGGCAAGCTAAATCGTGGTGAAATTTTCTTTATTTTTTGAGACAGGGTCCTGAGTGCTGGGATCATAGTTGTGCATACCAAGCTAGATTTGGGTTCTGGAAGCCATCATGAAGCAGGGCTAAGTTAATGAAACTGAACTCTGTCCACAAGTGCAGCATGTTTCTTTCCTATACATAAGCAGGCTCTGTCTGTCTTGGGGTACTTAGGGAAACTTCTTTAGCTACGTATTCCCCTTAGTGTTGCAACATCAGGGTCAACAACTGCTTCTACCCAGTGATCTTTTGGTGCTTTATTTTCTTCTTGAGAAGGGAAGACTGAGCTGGTAACAAGAGGAGATGAAACCCTGTGTTTCAGCCCCAGGCACCAGCACCTCAAATGAGGCCAGAGAGAGATCCTGGAGGGTTCTAACACTTACAACCTGGGGCACTGCAACGCCAGCTGCACGCAGGGCTGCTGGGCTTTGAAGACCCAATGGCTTGCTCACACGTCATGCTATGGCCAAAGTGCTCCAAAGAGTGACAGGCAGTAGAGGTGCTGGAGACTACCAGAGGTGGTAGAAGTATTTAGAAAGCAACAGGCAGAGAAAAGGTCAAACTACAGAAGGCAGAAGGCTATGAAGAGTCGAGTCACTGAGACTGTGAGATTCAATTCCTAAAGTGGTTCCGGGTGGGTTTCAAGAGTTCAGAGCTGAGGGCCCTGACACTGGTAGCTTTGTGCGGGCCAGAGAGTCTTCATTTTGAAAACTCCATTTTAAGAAAGTAACCCTGAGCTGAATTCTCCCCTAACCCCAGTTCTTGTGAGTAACCCAGTCCTTGTAAATCATTTGGCCTTCCTTGTAAGAGCACAGGAGAACAAAAGCAGGTTTTGCAAAGCCCCTATGTCTACTGCTCATTCTGGCATCTATAAACTTGCTTATCCAAAGGAAGTGGGATCTCGAACTCCTTGGCTCCACAGTGTGATGTCGCCACTCAGTAGCTGTAACTGTTTTCGTGTGCCCCTGGTTGTTTGTTCAAAAAGTTGGGGGATGTCCTGTTTACCTGATCTTTAAACAATGTATCTAACCACTGCCTGCCTTGTATAATCAATACCCCCACCTGCAAAGCCCTCTTGTGTTTTTGCTTTAAAAAGTAGCCTCCCCACTCCTTCAGGGCTGCAGTCCTTATTCAGGAGTTGAGGACTGTAGCCCAAGCTAGCTTGAATAAAACTTTGAATTAAAACCTGATTGGGTGTCTGGTGGTCTTTTCTCAGTGGTCCTAAACTCTGTAACAGCTTGGAGACTGCAACTCCAACCATAAGAGCAAGACTCCTGGTTCAAAGGCTCAGTGATTGATCTCTACTGAGTAACTATAGTGCTAGGTCCCCAGCTGTGAAAGTTTGGAGTCATGAGTCTCTTATCTTGAGTACCTAGATCTATAATCCTAGGAGGTTTGAAGGCCTGCCCCATAAGCACCGGATGGGGGTGTCTCAAGGCTGCCATCACTGAGAATCGTCCAGTTGGTTCCTGAATTGCATCCAGGTGAAGTTAAAGGGCCAGCCATCTGACTGTGGTAACATTGCAAAGAACTGTAAATAACCTTCCACAAATCTGATACCCAATTAAAAGTTTATTTAAGAATCCATCATTGGATTAAATCGTAAAGTGTATTTTAAAGCTCTGAAAAAGTGAGAGAGCTACTTAAGAACTGAGTGAGAGGTCAAAGGCCAGCCAGTCAAAGAAACAGCTCAAAGAAAAATGTAGACGTTATCAGGGATAGGAGTCAAAGAATTAACCTGATTTGCTCCTGAAAATAGCATGAATTCACAAAGGAGAAAATATGAGAGGAAGAACAGTATATTGCAAAGAAAAGTGGATGAGAAACAGATTTGAAAGTGGAGGGGAACATTGACCCCAAAGGGGCTTCTTAACAGTTTTTGACACATAAAAAATATTTAAATGATGATGAAAGAAAAAAGAAAGATTTTTAAAGCTCTATCAGAGAGTTGAGAAAATTGATATTTAATATCTGTATGATGTTGAACATGGATGGATCAGTGCACAAACAAATATTTTAAAGTTGTTGTTTAATATCCAATAGTAGATATTTCATAACCTTACTCAGTATTGTAAAAATGCTTAATCGCCCTGAGGACTGTGGGATTGTACCAGTATCTCTTGGAAATCAGCAAGTCAGAGAGCCTTTGGTTTCTGAGCCCTGAATCTTCATGCCACCAGGAGCTGGGAGATTTGAGACCTCCAGTGGCAGGAAGGAAGGGAAAGCACTCTGCCCAGAGTGAGAGACCTGCGCTTGGTGTTCTCATTAGAAGCCACGACGTCTGGGTCTGGAGCCACAAAATGGTCATATTTTTTATTATGTGTTTTCATTATTCCTGTCATTCATTTGTATTCAATCCCTTTGATACATTTTGTCAACTCCTTACTTTTAATATGCCAGACTAAGGCAGAGAAGTCTTGAGAAATTAATACTGACCATGCGACCACTAAGGTGGAAGATTTCAAAGGGCACTTAGAATTGTGGTGCTAATCTAATGCTATTAGAAACACTCTGTCATGTGGCAGCATTGCCTCTGAGCGGTGAGGACACAGACCTGCTGGGAGGAAGCCAAGAGCATGATCTGGACTCTGAGTGCCTTAAGTCCTTTTACTGTTCTGTCTTCTGCCCTCATTCTGTGACGGCTTTCAGCAGAGGAAAATCCTATCTAAGATTCAGCAAGGCAAAACAGTATCTCACACCCTTCTAGCCTCATCTCAGACTGAGAAAAGCAGAGTTTGAGGCCCAGCATTGTACCTATGTTCACTGTAAGGGTACATGTATCACATTTAAGTTGCTGAAAGACAAAAATGCTCAGGGCTAAACCTGGTGTGGTGGCACAGGCCTTTAGTCCCGGCACTTGGGAGGCAGATCTCTGTGAGATCCAGACTAGCCTGGTTTACATAGTGAGTTCCAGGCTAGCTGTGTCTACATGGAGAGTCTGTCTCAAAAAGACCAAAACCAAAACAAAACAAAACAACAGAGCTCAGGGCTAGATAGTTAGCAGTTATCTGTGACTCTACTCCAGGGAATTTACAGTCTCTGACAGCCTGAAGTTTTGCGACTAAGGCACCACTGGGAGCAAAATACACCCTCGGGCTTCTGTGGTGGAGTTTTAGAATTAGAACTATCTTTGCATTAGAATAATATATTCATAGCATGTAAATATGAGCATAGAGTTTTTTGTTTTAACTTTTTGTTAAAAGCTTTATTTTTGCCACATCTGCAGGTCATATATTAAAAGCTAAGGAATAACTTACTGATTTTACAAATGCAAATAATAAGGAGGAAAAACAGATTTATAGTCAATAGCCTGTTGTTTCCAGAAGTGAGACTATTCAATGATAGACTATAGAGGGCATGTCTCCAAACAAAACCATGATCTATCTGAAAATATGTGGTGTTCCCTCCCTGCATATGTGTTGACTTGCTGTTGTCATAAAATTTATATTCCTTAAGGAAAAAAATATTCTGAAAACAATATCAAATTGTCTGGAAATTTTGCCCACAATCTTTGAAATGATCTACTTGCTCATATTACAAACATCATCACTGGGGTCAGGCCTATTTCCTGGGACCGTATGTTTTGGATTATGGTTTCTGCGCTCACTGATGAAAGTGCTTCTAGCCTACGCATTGAATTCAAAATACAGCAACTCAATAAAAACTTTAATTAATTAGGGCATAAGCAAAGTCTATAAAACTGCCACATACTGAAGAAAGTATAAAATATTCTAATTGAAAGTGTCACCCCATTGGTGAAAAATTCTCTTTTACTGCATCCTTACACAGTTGTCCTTCAGTGCATGAAAAAATAGCAAGGGAAAGAAATGCCTGGGGGAATGAGCATCACAGAAAATACTCTCGAGTATATCACTACTTAATGATTATTTTTAACCAGAACACACATATAAAAGTATTTGTAAGTAATAATTACCATAGCTCTGAACAAAAATCAGTGCAAGGCTGATGTGCAATATAAAATAATTTGAGTCCAAACCACAAATCATTTTTAATAATTTAATTCAGGGATTAATTAGGCATAATCATAAGAAGTAAAAAACAGCAAAACTGTGGTACATGAATAAAAAGTTTTCAAAACTTTGATATATATATGTTGAATAGATTCAAAATATGTAGTTAAAGCATTATAGTGTTTAAATCAAATTTATGGCAACACGAGGATCCTTTGGAGGCTTACAGGAAAAAATGCTTCATGGGGAGGAAGGAACAGCCACTCGACAATGAACTTGCATAGGTGTCATGAAACGAGACCTGATATGGTAACGCCTCAAAGTGTACTTCATAACAAAAATAAAGCAAGAAGCACGATGGCCTATTCTTACCTGTTTTTTGTGGCCCAATGACAAGGAATTTTGGTAAATGGTCACAAGTCTTCTCCCTGGACCAGATGTCTTTGTGTCGTTTATCATCGCAGGGATTCTGCAAGGAAAAATAACATGGCTTACTGCGCATTGAATCCCTGCTTGTGTCCTGACAACTCTCAAAAGATAGAATGAAATTCTTGTCTGATCTGGAGCTGGGAGTTGGATCCCACTCCTGTCCTCCGGTTTTTACCAATCCTTTTCCTAAGTGATTAGTCTTTTCTCCCACCCAAGGCTGGACAGAGCACAGCCTCAAATCAGTCCTGCCATGGTAACTGTGATGACTCACAAGGTGCTAATGGTATGCTGCTCTATTGGGGGTTTGTGCCTTATGACAGATCAGTGAGGCTTTAATATGACAGAACCTTGCTTGATTTAGTTTCAGTTTATTCTTTTGCATATGCAAACACCTAAATATTAGAGGCCAGATATTTTATTTTCCACTCAAGAAGACTTTCATTGAGAAATATTTCTTAAGATAGTATTTGTCAGATGTGTTGTTTTTTAATTTGATTTTTTTCTATCAGCCTGCCAAATACAGGTAAAATCATAGACTTTTTGATATTCATTCAAGCACCAAACAGACCTTTATCCAATTAACAATGAAAGATATGTCAAGAGATGTTTACACAAATAGACTTGCATTGTTCTGTTAAAGAATGCAAAACTGAAACCTTTTATTCCACTTAAAATCTTATTTGAGTTTAAAGTTTTTATTTTAAAAATAAGAGGATTAGATACAAGCTCCCAAATACTTTTGACATTTTTGGCCCAAGGACATTTTGAGTTTTAGGCCAGAAACTGGCTACATTTCTTTGGGGTCTTTTTACCCTAACTGCCTTGCCAATTCCTACCTCCTATTCTTATCACGCCATCCTCTGAATGGGCTACCCATATTGCCAATAGGGAACAGGGACGCCAACTGCTCTGGTTTCTTCCATGCTGAGCAGGGACGCAGGGTGAGGCAACTGGAGTATCCCTTCAGTGGGTCTATCTAAAAGACTCCCAAATTGTGTAACTCTTGTCTCTAAGGGGAGAAGAAAGTCCTTGAATCACGAATGGGAGATGTGAAGGAGAAGTAAAGGCAAAAGTAATTAACATTACAAGTTCTAGACAAGGAACTAGAAAAAAGTCAGAATAGGGCAATTTTTAAATGTTCATATGAGAGTCCATTGGAGTTTCTTGACGAGGGCTTCCAAAAGCATCCCTCTATTGGGTTCTTCCTCATTTTTCTTTTGTCTTCCAAGGCTCGACTAGTCGGCTGGGAAGTGTGGCTGGAGCTTGTATCTAGTCCTTAAAAGATTTTAGGGCTACCTCTTCAGAGGGAGGAATGTTGGAGGGGAGGGAGTGGACATGGATTTGATCAAAACACCTTATATGCATAAATAAAGTTTTTTTTTTTTTTAAGAGCCTGTGGCATTCCTTGTTGCATTTCCAGAGTCTAGTAGAGCACTTGCTAGATGAATGGCTCTCAACAGATCTTTTCTAAACTGAAAAAAATATAAATAAAAACAAAATTAAAAATAAGAGGATAAAATAAGTGCGGTGGCACATCCTTTTAATATCTGTATTCAGGAGGTAAAGGCAGGAAGATCTCTGTGAGATGGAGGCCAGCCTGGTGTACATAGCGAGTTCCAGACCAGCAGGGGCCACAGGGAGACCCTGTCTCAAAAAACAACAAAACAACAAAACAAAACAACAAATAACAAAACAACAAAACAAAACAAAACAAAAAAGAGGAGAGGGATAATGGCACTAAAGAAGAGAAAATATTATTTCAAGATGCTTTTTCTCTAAAGTTAGTTTATTAATTAATGATCTGTATTGTCTGAGATGCCCTCACACATTTAGACTCAAGTGATACTCCTGCTTTGACCTTCCATAATGTTGGAATTATGATATATGTTACCGGGTCTGGTTTGCAACATGCTTTTAACATTTAAAAATAGGTTTGATAAAAATTATTTTCTCCAAATAACATTTTGGTATATATATTTCAAAAGTGTTTCAAGATAATTCCTCATCTAGATTGAAGAGGAGATAATCCAGGGGTCCTATAGAGCCCCGTGCTAGACAACTGTACTGATCCATGATGCTTACTGCAGCAGATCTGTAGGAACCCGATGGTTCAGGGGTCCTGCAGAACCTCACGATTGCCAACTGTACTGATCCTTGATGTTCACTGCACCTGATAAGTAGCAAGGGAACACCCTGTCTACCTGGCTCAGAAACATGCACTTGAGATGATAAAAGCTGGTATGGCAGTGGACACCTAAGATCCCAGCTCCCTAAGCAGCAGCGGTGGATCCTGGAAGATTGTAAGTCCAAGTACAGCTGGCAAATGAACTGAAAATACTCCCCCAACCAGTCCAAACCAGAGTAAAGAGAGAGGATGGAATCCAAGTCTGCCAAGTTTGAGGCATTACTACTCCTGAAATTTGTAGAGCTGAAGATGCCTGGAGCATACTGGGAAAGTCCATGGCAAAGGCAAATTCCTACCTTTTACTCTTACAGATAAAAAGGAGGGTGGCACTTCATCAACGTCTTTGGGGTTTGAAGGTGGCATATGTATTCTGGAAGACTCATTGCACCTTGGCATTTATTGCCAAGTCAAGTTGCTGACAAGCCACTAGAGTGAGACCCCAATGCATGCCCTCACCCCCTCAGCCTCTGCAGCAGTGTGTCATCTGAAGCAGAAGATGCAAGTAGGTTCTGGCACATTGGCAAACTCTAAAAGAAAGTGATTGTTTCCTGTCATTGATTGATGTGATCATGTAGTCATTCTCACCTATCAGAAACCAGTACTCACATCCCACCAAACCATAATTCTAGTTGTAACCACCAGTAATTCCTTTTAAGACAGAAGTGATGTGTCTGGGATTGATCTCAAACAGATCCAAGCAGCACTGACAAATATATCCTATGTGCCCCTGTCACCTACACTTTTCTATTGGTGGTTCTCAATCTGCTCATTTCTGCAGCTTCCTGATAGGTTTTCCTTAATCTGCTGATGTAGAGCTAATTTATGGGTTGACACATGTGTCGATAGAAGGCCTAAAATGATCTGGATATAAGGTAGGGGTTCCTAAAACTAGTGGTTAATGGAAACCTTCAAATTGGCAGAGTTTGGGGTAGTACAGTTTGAAATCTGGTTTTTTGTTTGTTTTTTTTTTGGACAGACTAGTACCAAAGCTACAGACTAGTAGGGAATGACAGATGACATAAGGTATGTTATGAGACAATTTGAAAAAACAAGTTAGGATGTTGGAGGTAGTAACAGTGTGATTTCCTGTGCCTCTGCATTCAATACACCAGAGACCATCCAATACAGAGAGAGTCTCCACAGCCACGTGGACAGGTATGGTTCAGCTGTTCTAAGAAGTACCAGCTGTTACCTAATCTCTATTCTCATTATCCCAGTGCCGATATACCGGCTCACAATTGCACAGCCATGGAGGGGTTTCTTTCTCCTCTTGTCTCCTCTAACTACTGCTGCTGAATGCTTGACCTCATGCCAAAAGACACAATTTCTCATTCCCAGAAATAGCAATAGCATGTCACTTGGTGTAAAACAGATTATATGCGACAATTCAATCCTGAAAAGGGCAGTGAATGCTTCATCCAGATTGGGGCTTGACACTCTTTGAAAGTATGCATTTATTTTGTAGCCCGCTGGCCTTGGCTACCAGAGTGGTGGGCTCACGGTGTCTCACTTGTTAGCATGTACATAATAGTGCTAAAGCATGCTGGTAATGAAAATGTGACCATGTCCATATGGCCATGGTTCTATCAATATAACCTACTATCAGAAACTAGTATACTGCAAATTCTTTTAGAAAACACAGTTGAGGCTCAAGTTTGGAGACACAGTGTATTCTTTAAAGCAAAAACCATTAGTTGGTACTGTATTGTCAATGTCAATGGGTAATGGTAGCTAAATCTAGGAGTTAAAGGATGGATATAGGAATGTACCTATTCATAGTTATTCTCAATGACCTATTTGAAAATTCTGTGCTATTTCACCCCTATGACTTTAAGTTCTGTGTATTAAAAAGAGGGGTGCACCTATTGCGGGGACATGATAAGAGGGTCACCATACTGAATGTTTGGTCACTTTGGATCCTCTCTGCTAGCAGGAGGCTAGGACAGGCAAGCCTAGAAATGGATTACTGTAGCAGGAGGCCTCCAAAGATGGTGTGGACCCAGAGCCCTGGGATTCAGCAAGAATTCACTTCACTTCTTGGTCTGCAAATAGCCGGCCAAAAAGAGCCCACGCCTCCGTACCCTGCTCGTGAGACCAGTGACTGCTGACAGACTGAATGGCGCGGACCAATCAGAAAACGACATGCTGGCTAAAGGGACTTGGGGGTAGAGAAAAGGGAGATATAAGGTGTGCCTCCTCCTGCATTAAATGAGCCTGCACCACTCGCCTAGTGCTTGCTTCTACCCGACTCCCGGGGTCTGTGTGTCGTGACTCCATGCCTCTTACCCCCTAATCGGCAGGGGACCCTATCCAGGTTAGGGTCTTCACAGCTGGCCTGAGGAGAACCCACAACACCTGGCGCCTGAATAGGGACTCCTACCCATGGTGTTGGTGACACCCAGAACCTCGGTTCGTTCGGTAAGTAGGCCCCTGGTCTTGTCTGTTTCTTCGGCTGCTCGAGGGTAAGCGAGTAGCCCCCTGCTCTGTTGCCTCCACCCTGTCTGTCATCTTTATTGTTGGACTAGTTCATTAGATCAGGGAGGCACACTCTGCCACGTGGTCCCGAAGACCACGTTGGCACCTCCCCCCTCTCAGCTCTTCCCGGTGAGTTCACATAAGGGCTGATCCACCCCGAACTCAGAGTCCAGGCTTCAGGCCACACTGTTGCCTGTCCTGGAGACATTGTGTGAGCATACGGCTGGAGGTGTCATGGCCTCCAGAAGTCCCTCACTGAGCACAAGACATTTGGATCCGATACACCTTTACATGTTGGGGCAGTTTACATCCGAGTAGCTCACAGTGCTTCTTTGCTTCCTTTGTGTCCTCTTGGTAGTCACCCTCATCTTCTACTTTTG